CATTCTATTGATTGTCAGAGCTTGATTCTCTTATCTAATGGTTAATGCAAATAAGTTGCAGGTTATTTGCTCTGAGCAATGTCTTCGTACTAGGTCACACAACAACAACAACAACAACAACAACGACAAAAAACCATGGTGACTGATTGCATGATCTGGAAACTACAGACAGAACCTAGCCTGAAATTCACTTTCTTCTCTTTCTTCAAAATTTGCCATGATCACAATGAGGAGAAACAATGATTCCCTTGAACGAAGGCTTAAGGTACCTTCATCGTTTACACCTTTCCTATTACACTATTAATTGATTTAAAACGGATCACTAAAATGTGTGTTAAGGAGAAAGTAGAGTTCACAGGATATTGCCAAGCATGGATATGTTGATATGCTGTTTTTTAAAAAACATGTATGGATTATGCTTTTTACCCAGATCAGTTGATAATACAGTAACTGCCTTAAAGCCATAAGTGGGAATGCCCAAATTCAGTCCTATTTAAATGGAGAGTTGCATTATTAACACAGTAGTGACTTGGCAAGGCAAAGTCTGAGCAGCTAGTGGGTCAAAAAATTAAAGGAGGTGGGGAGGAAGGGAAGTATAGACCCTGTTGTAAAATCTAAATCACCTTTGGTCTAAGCTTTGGTTTGGTGCTGCCTCATGGTTGTTGTCAGCTCAAACATCCTTGAGGCATTATGGGTTCTGTGGCCAGATCAGACTTTAGGGTTTGAGCAGTCACATAGTTGGCACTTATGTTGATTCCCCACTTCTCAAGATTTCCTCTCCCTCATATATAAGAACTTTATCCACACTGGTTAAGAATAAGAGACAGGGCAAAGGATGGGAGCCAATCACCAACTGCATTATATTTGTCATTATAGAGTGGGAGGGGTGTTTTAATTCTTCAATTTATCTCCTCTGGAAAAGTCCTTATAGTTTTCACAACATATTTCTTTTTATGGGTTTGAATGAGAAAAAAAAAAATACTCCAACACTCTGAAATATAAGCGAGTCTACATGTTTCTTCTTTCCATGTTCCTTATACTTTTACTTCTTGTACTTCTCTTGGGAACAGATTTTTGAAAAACTAGGTGAACTGATAAAATAAAAATGAGCTTAAACTGGGTATAATTTACTATATGTGAGTCCTTCAGGGCAGACTGTCACAGATTCATGAGATTGCCTATATTTCCACTAGTGTCAAGCCAAAGGGACGAGAACTCATCACATTTTTAAAGATAACCAGAGAATCAGATTTTGTTCCCAAGCAACTCAGCTCTCCACTGTGTCTACTAAATTTTCAATCTAATTTGGCCACCTTCACTCCCACCTTGTTTTAGACAGTAGCGGAGAGACAGACATTCTCGTAAACGTTTCCACTCATAAAATCTATGTCTAGTGGCAGCAGTGTCTGGTCTAGCTGAAGCATCAGCCAGTAAAACCACCATCGTGTTTGCAGATATCCTAGGTCTGGAAATCATTGTTGGCATGTCCACGTATTTAAAAAAATTCTGGTAAGTCTGGTGGTTTCTCGAAAGCACAAGTTTTCTTCTGAGAAACTTCTGAGAAAACCTCAAGGACCAGCATCTTAAAATAAATAGATCACTTCTCAGCTGAGCCATGGCTTTTGACCTTTCTTCAGATTAGAATATGGTGAATAAGGAGACAAGAGAGTGTGGCTGCCTTTGAAGCAAGGCTTGAAGGTTGCTATTAAAGCTATTTACCCCCGTACATCAAATCTACCACTTTAAGACTTTTTTCTCCTGAGTCTTATTTGACGCAACTCTCTCTGGAAAGGACTGCACCTGAAGCCAGTATTTGGTGAAGACCAATGCACAGAGGATTTCGGAGTAAGAGCAGAGTGCAGACATGATGGTTTCAAGGGACTATGGGGGAAAAAGATGAAATCAGTGAGTAGGGAGGTAGAGGCCCCAAATTTTGCTTTCCTGTCAATTTAGCCCAGCACTGTTTGAATGTGAAGGAAAATCTGTCATTCTTTTTGGGTGTTATGTTGGTTTTCAACTCACAGGAAAAATTTCAGCTTATCATCTGCACTTATGTTACAATATGGAGCTTCTCTCTATATCGTTCATAGACTAGAAGAATAAGTTACCTGTATATCTGCTAGTCTTTGCATAAAATTGCCTATTTCTAGTTCATTTTAGATAGCTTAATGCCTCATTGCTTCATTTTAGTTATTTCTTGCTGTTAAATTAGATGAAATGCTTTATGTGATTTTTGGTCAATAAATCTCTTGCTGGGCTCAGAATATATTTTTAATTTTTATTATAAAGTAGACATGCATAAAAGTGCACACATGAATGTATACTTAAAAAAATATTTAGAATGTAACTTCCAATTGGATCAAGAGATAAGATATTGCTGATATCCCAGAAACCCACACTAATCACAAACCACTCATTTTTCTCAGAGGTAACTTCTCTTCTCACTTATATGATTATAATTTCCTCAGTTTTTTTTTTCCTTTTTAGTTTTACCTCCTATATATGTCCCTAGTCAACATCATTTAGTTTACCTCTTCCTGTGATCTATAAATAAATGCACGTCATGTATTCTTTCATTCTTACATCTTTTGCTCAAAATTATGTTTGTGTAAGATTCATCCATGTTGTCACATATAGCTGAAATGTCTTCATTTTCATTGTTATATAGTATTTCAGTGTATGTTGAACAATTTTAATCCATTCTCCTACTGACAGACGTTTAGGTTGCTTCCAGGCTCTAGCGGTTGTGAACAATGCTGCCATACATGCTATCCATGTCTCCCGCTGCACGTGCTCATGAATGTCTCTAACCAAATATATGGATGACCAGAAATGCTAGAGCATGGGGTATGTAGATCTTTAACTTTACTCAATAACAGGAAGCTGTTTTTTCCAAAGTGATTGTTGCAATTTATACTCCCTCTACCAGTATATGAGTTCTTGTTGTTCCACATCCTCACCAATACTTGGTATTGTCAAATTCTTAATTTTTGCCAATCTGGTATTTAGTGTGTAATGATACCTCCTTGTGCTTTTTTCCCCCTCTTTTCATTGTGGTTTTAAGTTACAAAACCCTGATTTCTAATGAGATTGGGAAGTCCTTCACAAGTTTACTGCCCTGAGCCTCGATTCTTTAAAATTTAAATATAAAGTCTGGCATTCTGGACTTTGGTATTTTGCTGTTATTCATATGGAGCAATTCAAGTCATAACTGATCAATATAGGGAAAATAAAACAAACTCATTCACTGAGCATCAGTTTGAAACTAAGCATCTCATACACTTTTCCCTATTTAATTCTTGTAATAACTTTGCTGGTTGATGTCGTCATCCCTATTTTTATGTGTGAGAACTGGCACTCAAATCATGTCTGTGTGCCTCCAAAGCCTAAAACCACTTTACTATGATCATGTTTCCTCCCAAGAAATAACTTCTACAGGACCAAAATAATGCCCAATATCCTGTGGTGAAGTCATTGTCTAAAAAACTATACCAAAAGACTATCAAAGATAGCCTGGTTAATATGTCTAATTCAAAAACTACCTCCCTAGGTCAGTTTTTCCTTTAACATTCCAAAATCCAATCCATTAACATTTAAACAAATGAAAGGGTTCTTGATTTTTGGTGGGATTTTCCTCATGAGAGTAATTTGTAAAAAATTTTAGTCACATGTTTCATTTTCCACCTGTGACAGGCACTTGTGAAATGATTAACATGATCCAGTAGGGTTACAGAATATTAAGTGACAGCCAGAAATAAAAGTAATGAAACATGAGAGTGAGACAAACTATTCTCTGAGATAATTTTTATAAGGTAATCAATTTATTACGACACAGCAAATTCAAACAATAAACACTTTCTAAAAAAATAATTTAAAACCAATGAAAGGATAAACATCAAGCAAGACCCTAACAATTTATGTTATTAATAGTGCCTCTTTTTTTTTTTTTTTAATATAAACGTCTAATAAAAACCCTGTAAATCCTGCAGATACAGAAGCCATTTTCAAGGAATCAAATTAACCAGAAGCAATGACTCAGGTATGATATTGGCTACGAAAGGTGATGGACCAAACCAGCTTTCAATATCCTTCTCTGGATGCTAAGAATAACTCTCGGAACAGGAGAAGCATTCTGTGCATAACTCTCCTCTCTGTTATCTTTACAAAATGACCTTTCAATGGGATCTGATCCAAAACTCTTCTCAGTGAGGTAGACAAACTGGACACTTATAACTTTGTCACCAACAACTTCAAACAGGATTAGACTCTGCATCTAACCCCGCGTTCATCCCACTTCATAGAAACAAATAGTGAAAATGATTTTACTAACGACTTTTATACACTTCACACATTTTGTGAAGTTCGTTATTTTTTCCTTCACTCCATGATACAAATCCTGGCTTGCAAGAGTGCTAGCATAATATGCACTTTCTAGTTGCCAATGTACCTCCAAGATTTAGAGGTTCAGTGATTATAGGATTTAAATAATTTTAACCCCTTTAAATTTGGAAACTCTTTAAATCTCATTATCTCTGCAGCCGTTGACAATTTTAGAATCAGCTTGCCCTTTTCTAGCTCTAGGTCTAAGGATTATAGCATTTTAAAGAGTATAAATGCTTTTCTACAATTCTACAAAGAGTTGTCCCTAACCAGCTGACCTACAAGAAATAATGCCAGCAAGTTCTCTAGCTGGTAACTGCTGATCAGAGTTAATAAATAAAAAGATATGTATGTTAAGCCACAAACTATCAGGAAAACAGGTAATTGCTTCCTTAACTCCACATGAAGCTAGTGAATCAGAAGACTTGATGTAGGAAGGGTAGCAGACTTTAGACTTTTGTCACTAACTGTCTAAGAATGAGAAAGGAGAAAATGTTGGGGACCCAAAGAAGCTCGCCACAGCAGATAGAGTTAGTTGAATGATTGGGAGTCATCTTGCTCTTAAAAAATGCTGTTACCATGGATACCCTTGAATCCTTGGTAACCCTCTGAGGTCTTACCTCTTGCGTCCTCACATTTATGTATCCATAGTGAGTTCGAAGGGGCCGTCTGTGTGTATAGGAGAATGGTATCCATTTTGTACCAGGTTGTCCAAAGCAGTTTAGTAGCAATGGGAAATTCACTTCGTTTACAAGGCGTACAACCAGCAGGAAGAGGAACGCTGCTATGAAGCTCACTGCAATCACAGACTTTCTCTACAAAACATCAAAAAAAAGAAGAAAAATGAATGAATGAATGAATGAATGACTTTCAACCAAAAGCAGTCACAAAAGGAGGTTTCTTTATTCCTCTCCCTTTTTCTTTCAAAAGTAACAAAGGACTCTGTCATTTAGCATATTTTTACTTGAAGACAGAAAATAATTATTTAGCGACCAGGTTGCCTTAGTGTACTGAGCCTCTGAGAGTAAGCGGAGTAGCTTTCTTGGATTATCTTTCTATTCTATTCCTACTCCTCCTTTCCTTACCTCCCAATCTTCTTTGACAACTGCTATGCAGTTTTTAAAACTAAAACGGGCATTCTCAACTTTAGGAAGTCCCTCCTAACTGTTCAATTCCTTCCCCACCATCATCTCTTCAATCTTGGCCTATCTACCCTACTAGAGGTAAAAAGTCTCGCCACTTCAACACCTTGAAGGCATTATCATTGTTGTAAATAAATTTTCATTCTGTAATAATTATTTATTGACTTTTCCTTCATGTAACTGTGAGTTTCTAGAGAATCGGGGTGTACTATGTCATACTGATCTCCGTATCCCAGGTCCTTGACACAGTATCTTACATAGCATAGTGAATAAATGAATGGATGGACAGATTTTTTGTATTCTTGTAGACAAAATATCATCAAGCATTATTCTGTGTCTTTATCTAGCACCCTCCACGTGTACAAGATTTTGCCTGTGCTATTGGATCCAAAAAGCTAACAATAAGAGTAGGAAAAAAATCCATGCCAAGCAGCTTAAGAACATCCCCCTAAATATGTTGCTGTGGAACAAGAGCAGGAGCAACTGCATCCTACTGGGGTGAGGGAAAGGAGAGATGTGTTTGAGACTGAGTTTGATAAAATGCATGAGTTTTAATCAGTAGAGAAGTGTAAGTGGAGCTTTCTAGGCAGAGGGACTGAGCAAAGAGGCAAGAAAACACGGGGTTATTCACAGTCACATAGCACTTTCTCTTACTGGGGTACAGAGAAAACAAAAAAGCTGGAAACACAAATGATACCTTTATGGGGACTGTTTGGATACCAAGCTAAGAAGTCTACTGAGTTTGCTAGGTGGTGGAAATTCAAAGGAGGCTTTCGTTTGTTTTTTTATGTTTTTTCATGTTTTTTCGTGTTTGTTTTAAAGGTGACTATTATAATCAAACATCGGTGTTTAAGATGCCTTGGAATAGGGAGGAACTAAAGGTAGACATCAACTAGTTAGGAACTTATTCCAATTGGATAGGATAGAGGTAATGAGGGATGGAAACTAGAGCAGTGGCAGAGGGAATAAAGAAGTGAAAAAAGACATGAAAAACTCAATTTAGATGGGAGGGAGAAATCTTGGCTACTAATTGGATAGAAGTGGCAGACGGAAAAGTCAGAGGCCTGGTATTTTGAGTCTCAGTAACCGCAGAAATACTGGTCTTATCGGGAGAAAACAGAGTGGTCAGAGCAAGAACTGACTTAAGGGAATAAGAAGATAAAGCCCTTGGCTTTCTAAGTCCTAGTTTTCAGGGACTGGTGGGTCATCTGGATGGAGCTGTCAAGGAGTCAGGTGGAAAGTCAAATCTAGAGCTGAAGGCAGACATCAGAAACAACTCTGCCTGAAAGTCCAGTGTGAAGGCACAATAAAATGTTCCTCCATGAAGCTGGACTTGACCTCTGATTCTCCTTCAACCTTAAGGGAAGCCAAATAAATTTCTGGGAATGACGGAATGTTTGTTGTTGTTGTTGCTGTTGCTGTTGCTGTTGTGTTTTCAATTTACCACTTCATAGTGTAATCAGCTTTTTTTTTTGCTCTTCAGGGAATGTCCCCAAAATAGAAGAGAAACCCAAAGCCAGCCCCTGTAGCCTCCCTGAGCCCATAGTCACACTCTCTGTAAGGGCAATAGAATAAACCCCCAGAAATCAGAGACACCCAAAAGAAGTCTTTGCTCTTAGCCCCTATAATTTGTAAAAGCCCCATCCCTCTCTCTAACCAGACGAATTTTTCAATTACCTGAAAGTCCTTTGAGTTCTGCCTCCTCAAAACCCCTTATCTCATCACTAACCACCACAGCCTTACCTCATTTAACCTTCTAATCATGAAAAACCATTTTTAATTTGCTCCTCTGTGGAATCATTATGTCCAAAACATTGCAATGTGTCAAGGTAACAGCTTAAACGAGGTGATGGATCTTACAAGTTTAAAGGAACACAGACCAGAACAGATGGCTAAATAAAAGCAAAGGGGCCAGTGACCCATTAAGTAAACAGGTAAGAACCTTTTTATCACCATCGGGTAGCTTGTTGCAAAACAGCAGTTTGCACGGAAGGAGACCCAGATGGGATTTGTGCCTTTGTCCAGTCCAGAGCCCAGCATGGCTCTCTGTTTCTCTTGGTCGCTACACCGCACTGCATGGCTGGGGATTTGGGGACCAAAGTATAGATGGCCTTTCTGAATTATCTGATAGCGCATAACAACACATACATAATGCATAAATGAGACGAAAATAAATCAATAATTTTGAGAGATACTTCAAAATTGAATGAAATCACAGTTGCAAAAGCCTGCTCCCTAATAATCTGTGTCTGCATCCCATGTCCGACCAAAAGGAACCAAGTAATGAGTACAGAGAGGATGAAGTGAGCAAATGGAGAGAGAAAGCCCGACACTGACTCCTCTGTGATTGATCTGGAATAATATTTTGCAGTGGGCTTAGGTGCTCTTTTCATAACTCAGGCTTCTAGTCCAATTTCTGTTGTGTTACCTGGACCTGATTCTTTGCCCTTCTTCATGCTTCCATATTCTTGTTCAACATGAAATCATTCTCATAGTGCTGATATAAAACTACTCTGAAGTTTCACTAGAAAAGGTATAACTTCAAGCGCATTCTGTGCTCTACAAGGCAAGGACAACAGGACTCGATGTGAAAGTGCATTTTTCTAGCAGTCATTTCTGCCAGATCATGAGCTTCAGCAATTACAAAAAAAAACCATGGATGAGGCTTTTCAGAGTCTACACATACCAGAATGCAGAGAGAGTCTGTTGGGGAGCAGGGATGTGGGAGTTAGGGAAGTAAAAAAACACTGATATGCATGACATATGAATGTATTCACTCTTTCAAGTCACAATTGCTCATTAAATCTATACTCTGTATAGACTTGGTGAAGTGTTGAAAAATAGAAATAAAACCAAAAAAGCAGACCATGCTTCCAAAGAGTCACAACTTAGTGCAGATAGAAAGTAAACAGAAAAGTGTAATACTACACATCAAATAAGGTAATGGAGGTATGCTCAGGGTGCTATGACAGCCCAGAGGAAATGGAGGGGAGAGTTGTATGATGGACAATTCAAGGAGTGCTTGCCCGAGGAGGTGGTATTCAAATGGAGTCCTGAAGAATGCGGAGGAGTTAGATAAGTGAAGATGAGAAGGGCATTCCAGGCAGAAGGAACAGCATAGACTAAGGCACAAAAGTTCAGAAGGCCTTAATTTGGTCAGAAACTTGCAAGTCACTTGGCAAAAGAGTACTGTAGATTGCATGTAGTGGGAGATGATGCTAAGGAAGTAGACAGGGTTCAAATCGTAAAACAAAAAATAATAAGCGAAATACATTAATTCAGATGCAATTATCTGCCCAATCTATCTTACACTAGTATGATGAAAGGATAAATGTACCATATTTTATAATTCCGAAATATTCTTCACTTTCCAACCACGTGAAAATGTATCAATCCATTTTCTTTGAATTTTCCATTTAACACACTATAATGCCCTGCTTCTAATTGTTTGACTTAAATTTATTCCGTCATTGGCTTGTTCTAGCAACTGTTTTGAGTCCATCAACGCTCAGCAAATTAGAAGATGCTACCTGTTTACACATGTGTTCTATGTCTAACAATTTGTTTATAGAAGTGATCACTGCTGCCTTTATTGAAGTAATCAGAGCATCACCTAGATTCAACAACCAACAATTAGGTAAGTAAAAACAACAGTAAAGACTTGTCAAGTTTATAATTTAGAAAAGACTCAGTCTGACAAACTTTCATACGGCAAAAATCTAGCATAAATTTAATAATCATTCTCCTAAGATCAGAAGCATGAACATTCAATGACACAAGAGTTAGAAAATGCAGAGCACAGTTCTGGCACACAGTGAGCACTGAAAAAACAGAAGATGTTATTATTATGATATAACTACTAATGATCAGAGCCCTGGTGGACATGAGCCAATTGGCGAGGATCAGCCAGCCCATGTAAATGCATGATAAGAATTTAGAGATGTCTTTTTCTCAATTATTCCAAGCATCTGCAAACCCTTGAACTATTCAGTGCAACTTATCCATACAGGCTCTGAGAGAATGTCACTGTGCCAAACAGATCTGATGAACTGCATCATAGAAAGCTTTCTTCTTTTTTCTTAATTTTGGGCAAGTCTGAAAGGGGCCTTTAACAGCTGAGACATTTGGAATTTAGTGCCCTCTGTGTTGCAAAAATATGCATCAAAAATGTGGCATTCCAGTTGCTCATTCTTTAGAGTTGGAATATCATTTATTAGACTTAAGCAGAAATACCTATTTCAAAATATAATGGGGAGAAACTTTATTATTTAAGGAGAAAACAATTGCGAAATTTAGACCTAGCAAATTTGGAAGCTATATTTACATTTGTATGTTTTTATTCTTTCTACCACAGAGTTAGTCTTTAACCACAGAATAATCTTAACTTTTAATTTAGTCAGTTGCTAGATTTTATTTTGTTACTTTTTCATAAATAATAAACAATAGCATAAAGGTGCATTTTTCTATTTAAATAGTATTAATTAATTTCTTACCGGGGAAAAATGGTGTAGACCTTTGTCCATATGCTGTCATTTATTTAATAATATAAAGTACCACGTCAATTGTATTATTTATATCAGTGCTCAATCACCTCACACACTGGCAGGTCCTTACCTACTGCCTATTTGTGACCTTACCAAATACAAATTCTTTACTATGTAAAAAGTTGTGCC